TGCAAGTTGCCGCAGCACAGCCAATGACCGAGCTGCCTCGCTCATTGCTGTATGCTGTGCAGCTGCAATGCGTTTTACATAAAGACTTCAATATTTCTCGAGAAAAGGAGTTTTCCCATAGCGTAAGCTTACGCAATACTCGTTCCCTCCTCTCAGGGAACCGAGGTTACGTTAGTAACCGAGTCGTTTCATTTCTATCATCTTTCTTTACTCTTGTCAAACTGAATTTGAAACATAACAGGGATGTAATAATTCACTTCAATCATTTTTACAATAGTCTGGGCATAGATTCATGTAGAATGAATCTTTGCAGTTTTGGTATCATGTCTTGCTGTCTTTTATTGTTGTGTATATTATGGCACTTGGTATCATGTCTTGCTGTCTTTTATTATTGTGTATATTATGACTTGTATGGTTAGTTACGTGTCCAGCTGGTTTATGTTGGTTCAAGCTGGTTGATGATGTCCCCATGTTCCCATTCATGCATTTGCAATAGAACCTAAATATGATGTCAGTAGGAGAGTCTCACACATTCACTGCTTTAATTTTGTGTTCTTTTAGCAGACGTGAGTGTATATACCTTTGTGGAAAGCATACTAACTTTTTGTTCCATTGCCTGGTATTTTACATTGTCAGTGAATAATAAAAATAAACTGCATAAGATAGTTAATCTGTCCAGCAAGATTGCCGGGGTACAGCAAACTAGCATGACAACGACCTGTGAGTCCCGATTGGTGAAGAAGGGGCAGGCAATTACTAGAGATGTATCACATCCCCTATTTGACGAGTACGAGCTGTTACCATCAGGCAGACGGTACAGGGTGCCATCTCTCCGAACCAACCGGGCCCGCAGGTCATTTGTGCCAACTAGTATTGGATTTCTTAACAAGCGATGAGATGAGATAATAAAATAGAGTTGCACCTTAGCTTAATTTGTTAGCACTCAAGGGGGATGTTTGTGTTGGCAAAGCAGTTGTTTGGTTGTTGGTCTGTTGATGTTGTTGATCTGACGTTTGCTGTATGACACAAAATGAATTTCCGTAAGGACTAATATCTATCTATCTATCTATCTATCTATCTATCTATCTATCTATCTATCTATCTATCTATCTATCTATCTATCTATCTATCTATCTATCTATCTATCTATCTATCTATCGTTTTTCTTTTATCTCTATTAAATAACCCAAACTTAAACTTTAAAAAGTTTTATCAGTTAATATTCTGTTAATTTAATGTAGTAATTTTACTGTCATAATAAACAACCATGTGCAGCAGCATCCTCTTGTGTCAAAAATCAAATGACTACCCAGGGGACAAACTGTTCTGGTGTCAATTACCTAAATATTACAACCTCAACATGTTCAAACTCTGATATAAGAAAGCTGTTTCCTCCTCATACGCTTCCAGTGAAGTAAACGGATGACTAATAACAAGAAACATGCTCTCATATGACATATGTGACATAATGTAGTGGGTCATGGGGCTTGGCATTCATATATCAATAATGTTCCATTACAACCAATTCAATTTCCAATACTTACCCTCAGATCCCACTTAAAGTTCTAAAAGATAAAATGAGGTCACAAAATTATGAGCCATCATGCGAGAAGCTGGACTTTTCTCTGCTCTTTTATATGCTCAATGCAGTGTTTGTATACTGTAGCTCAATATAAACCTATGATCTGTGTGAGTGTCTTTGTGTTTGAGGGGCATTTCTCATCCTCATGCTGTGCAGGTATTGCAGCTGCAGTTTCCACAGGGTCCCATTACAGGGGAAACTGACTGTCGCTGCAGCAAGCGTTCAGGGCAGGCGAGTGCTTTGGCTTGGCTCAGGCCACAGAAATCTGATGCTGCACCTTGCGCTCAATGCATCGCTGGCATTTCTCGGCAAACTGTCAACATTCCACTCCAGGCTTTAAAAGGATGTTGGCATCATTGCAGTCCTCTAAACCTGCATGTAATTGCCTAATGCCTCTGTCAAGTCAGGGAGGAACCAGCAGAAATGTGGTCTAGATGCGGTGCCTTAGTAATCATTATTCTATACCAGTCATTTTATTGAATAGAGAGAATTAAACACATTCAAACTCTCTTATTTGTCCTGTGGGCTGTGGTATGTCAGCAGCTAAACCACCTGAACACTATACAGCTCTGGGGAAAAAATAAGAGACCACTGCAGTGGCAAGCTGTTTCTTCTAGATGTATGATTTACTATTTTTGATGGTTTACATCAAGTAATACACAAGTAAATGTATGAGATTACATCTCATGGTTCCATCACAATGAGGTACAGTCAAAAGGCACTTAATATTAAACAATTCTATTAAAATACTTACTGTTTATCGATTTTTACTTACCTGCATAAGTTTCTTTGGGTTAAAGAGTCTCCAAAATTATGAAATGTAAACAATTTCATATATATATTTTATTTCAGATTTGCTTTTACTGGCTGGATGGACACCCAGAATAAAACTAAATGGATCTCGACACCAGGGTGACATGGGGTGCTCTGATACCCGGACAGCTGTGGCTGGAACATCTGGGGCAGCCATGACATGAACCCCTGCCACTGGGGCAGACGAGATATGGCATTTGAACAGCTTCTGAACCAGCTGTGACAAGAACTTATAGGACCAGGCAGTCATGACAGGAACCATAACAGGAAGCTTGGAGACTAGGGTGGCTGAGACAAGTATATCTGGGATTGAGATAATCTTGAGACAACAGGAGCCTTTGGAGTGTCTGTGGCAGGAATCACTGGGGCAACCAAAACTGGGCATACTGGCATTGGGGCGGTTGAGACATAGAGACCTGAAGCAGCCATGACAAGGAACCTTGGCTGGCAGTGGCCGGAACCTCTGAGTGACTGGAGTGCTGGCCATCGCAGATTTTGAGTAGGCCGCAGCACTAGCAGCAGGGCCTGAATTTCGTTTTGGAAAATGGGGGGGAAATCCCCCCTTAGATGCTTCTCATGGGGGGATTTTTTTTTGTTTGAGGGGGAGAAAGGGGGGGCATTTTTTCCAAACAAAATAATTACATTTATCTTGCCTAAATGTTTGCGCTCATTGCATTTTTACAATGGGGTAATAGGCTATTGTTGTTAAGAATTTACACATCACAAGGAAGCTTGATTTAAATTGTTTAATTAAATTGAAAAAAGTAGCACAAATAAATACAATAGAATAAAGATACAAATAAAGACAATTAAAGAGAAAAGTTTTTGAATAGGTCTAACACTAGTATTCACAGAAACTGAATAAAGTAATCAAATGGAAAATAACACTGGGTAGTATTTTAGTCCTGAATAAATTAAATACATAGGCTATTAATCCTGATTCCTTTAACTTAAAGCTATCTTTTGTTGTTTTGACAACAAAATTAATGACAGACACATATGGCTGCCGTCACTTTAAGAGCTAGTGCACGGATCCTGTGTTCATTATACTGGCATGCGTTTTATGCTTTGGCCTATTAAAGACAAAACCGACTATGTTTAGGGTATAGCCTACTCACAAAGACCGAAATTGACAATTTTGCGTGTAAAAGCAATATAATCCGCGAAAAATTACTGGCCAGCTGTTTTTGAGGCGGATTTTCTATGAATGTGCGCATAGAAAATAATCTCTCAGAGAGCGCGCGAGCACTGATTAGTTTAAAATCGCTTGAATGTTTAAACTGGTAAGACTTAAAAAGACTTCAGTCACGATGCACTTCTGGCCCGATTGTGCAAGTGAATATTCCGTCATGTCCCGACCTTACAGTCTATGGTCCCGACTCCAAAACGCGAGTGTGTATTATCGCCGCAGCGCTTGATGCCTGCCTTGCACAACACATTATGAGAAGAGATAGAAGACGCGCGCGGCACCGCTGAACACTCACGCTGTTTGTGAAATTGCGTCTGGAAGATAGTTGTTAAAATAATGATTTTATTTTATTATCTGTGTGGATTACGATTGCGGGAATTTCCCGCATTATAAATGGGAGACCTGCGGGAATTATTAGAATTATGCGCAATACCCGCAATCCCGCGCCGAAATTCGAGCCCTGCTAGCAGGGATCTCTGAGGTTGGACAGACACAGCAGGGAGCTCTGGGACCGAGGTGACATTGCAGAGAGCTTGAAGATTGGGGCACCCATGAAGGCACCTTTTGTTGCAGCCATAACAGGAACCACTGGCACTTCCTGAGACAGATGGGTTCTGGCTTTCGAATGACCACGGAGGTCATGACAGATGACTGGGAGCTTGGAGACGGGAGATTTTGAACTAAGACAGCTTAGATGGCTGATGACTGAGACAATTACAGGAACCTCTGAGGTTACAGTAATGACTGGAATATAAGGGACCAGTAGGCCATGACAGAAACCTCTGGTGCTTGCTCTGGCTGGGGCCTTTTCAGGAACATCTGTGGAGGCAACAACACTGTTGGGGTGCTTGTGGAAAAACTTGCTGGGTAACTATGACTGGGAGCTCTGGCATTGAGGAGGCAGAGACAGACAGGACTGGATCAGCCATAGTGGAAACCTCTAGCTGTAGCATCAAGGTGGTTGAGAAGGGAGCTCTGACATTGTGGAGGTGGAGACAGACAACTCAGGAACCTCAGGAATGGAGTGGCCATGATGGGAAAACAAAAAGGGGCAACCAAAAGAAGTATGTACAAATCTCTCCAGGAGCAGGACTGCAAAACGCAAATACTGCTCCCTCAAGCCAAAGGCGCAGGATGCTACACATGGCTTGCTCGCACCGCAAGACGCAAAGGTGAGAGGAGGGATGGAAGCGTCTCCCACTCCAGTCCGCCAGACATCAAGCTGCATGAGTGGAGTGCTCTTATGCATCGACCTGAAACAAAACAGAAAAAGAGCAGATTTGAATTGGCAATTTCTTCCCATGAGAAAATTAATAATTTTAATTTTTTAGCCGTTTTTTTTTAGCCGATCTTAGGTTCACTACCTTAAACCAGTTGTGGGACAGGATTAGCCCCAGACCAAGTCACCGGCTTGGCTTGTCCTGCAGGAGAGCACTGAGCAGTTGACAGCATTCTGTACAAGAAGACGGATTATAACCTTAAACTTTACATCTGCTCTATTTGATCATGTTACGATGTTTTGTATGATTGCGAATTGTTTCATTCTTAGATCTCACCTTTTGACAGGTTGTGTTTGGACCAGCGCTTCTGTTTCAGCAGCAACAGATCACAACCACTAGGGAAATGTCCACACAGCATCACGAACATCAGAACCCCTAGTGACCATGCTGTCGCCTGCCTCCCGTTGTACATCCCCCTGACACGGAACTCTGGAGGGGAGTACACCGCTGTTCCTGGAGGAAAAGAGGTTTTGTCTGATGTGTAAGTTTGCATTAACGCAACATGATTTTTTTTCTGTATCCATTAGCTCAGGATAAATTAATTATATAATACATACCAGAGTATGACCTGTACGGCAAACTCCTCATCATGTCCCCACATCCGAAGTCAATCAGCTTGACTTCGGATGTCTCCCGGTTAATCAGTAGGTTATGTAGTTTTATGTCACGGTGGAGTACTCCGCGAAGGCAGCACACGTTCGCAGCGTGAGCCGCCTGCCTCATGATATGCCGTGCCTTCTCTTCTTTGAGTCTTCCACCGTGACGCCTCATGAACTGTACAAGATTCTCACAAGGAGAGGGACATTCCAGGACCATAACAAAGTGGTCAGGGCGGTCCTGCCAGTCCAGCAGGCTGATGACCTCTGGCACGCTGGGACCTTTATTTGCTAGGATGGTAAGAGCAATCTCTTTTGGAAGGGGTTTTGGATGATCAGGCTAGAATACAAACATTTTTATCATCATTCGATAGAGGTTGTTTCCCAAATAGGGATTTGTTATTAATTTTGTCTGTGATTGAAGTTAATATGAGATGTTTTATTTTGTTTATGTAGTGTAATGTACTTACAATTAATAAACATTTCATGTTCCGGGTCTTCGTGACATATTTCAAAGCCACCTAATGAAAAAACAAATTAAAAGACATTGGACTCTGAGGACTCAGAGTAAAAGATGACGATAACACAGGGCAAACATTTGCTGGCTTGATAATGTGTTGTTTATTTTTACTTACTTTAAGGTCATCCTTCAAACGTCTCCCTTTATACACCACACCAAAACCAAAACCACCTTTCCCCAGCTGATCACCAACACTGTAGTGGCTGAAGATGTAGTCTATTAAAAGATAAAATAACATGAAATTTCACAGAAGTGAGAGGAGTGTCTTGACATGCCAAGTTTAATGCATAAAATTGTTCATTTTAATGTGTTTTAATTAATTAATAGAGACTATATTGAATATTTAAAGTTTTAACATTAGTACATATAGACATATAGTGGACGTGGTATACTATAATGGAATGTATTTAACATGTTATGGAATAAAGATTTTGGTATACTACTTAGGCCTATGTGTATTTGATATTGTTTGACAGTAGTATGAGTTTTTACGTGCTTAAAGTAGAGATCTAGTCAATAACATTCTCATTGGTCATGCCATTTACCATCACTACTTCTTCCTGCCCATGCTATCTTCCTCTTCTTTCCCTCATCCTGCTGCTGCTTCACCTCTCCCTGACCTGAACTGCTCTTTGGAGGTTTTTTGTAGGCAGCTCTGAAGAAAGAGGACAGCCGCCCTCCACCACTTCTTTCTCTTTCTCTTCTCCTGCACTCTCCCTGACTCCTTCCTATCCTCCTTCTCACCTCCTCTCTCCATAACCCTCCTCTCTTGGCTGTTTTCCTCACCAACACCAACAGGGGTCTCATCTCGAGGATGAGGATGTTGAACCGCCGTGTTGGTGCTGGGTTTTGGGGCTGTACTTTGATGTTGATCGTACAACTCGCCAATCATCGGACTCACTTTACACACTCGCTGTCCCATCCTTGTTGGAGACGGACTTTTTGACTTGAGCGCGGCGACTTCTCCAACGGGGGGGGGGGGGGGGGATTGGGGGGGGGATGGGGGGGGGGGGGGGGTAGCGGCGGCGACTTCGAAGGGCCCCCCCCCCTGCCTCGGGCCCTGGGTACTCTGTACCCCTTTTCCCCCCGCTACCACGCCCCTGCCTACATGTGGCCAAACTTCTGTAGCCGAGTGTATTAAGGACGTTTTTAGTTTCTCCAGTAGAGGGCGTCTATTAAATGTTTTAATTTGTTACAGGAGAACGCATAAAACATTTCTATGGAATGTAGGTGTCACCCCCCGGTGGCTATTTTTGGAATTATGCTTAAACAAGATTTCATAGCTTCTGTAAGACTGGAAAAACTAGTTGAGGAACGACCACTCCTCGAGTGGACAAAGGACCTTGCTGCAAATTAACATTCCCAAAGAAGTAAACCAAAAGGCAATAAAGTTCTTAAGAGTTTAGAAATATCTTGCACAGAGAGGGGTGTGAAGGGTTCAGGCAAATGGTCCTCTGCTCTCAAAAGGTGTAACCTCTGAATGCAAATTTCCATTGAATGTTTCCATGTGAAAGAAGTTTCTGTCTATAAAGAAATGCAGTAAAGGGTTCGTGGCCCTTTTCTGTAGGCTACTTCAGATCAGATGAGCCCGTGAGGCTGGTCTCTCAGCTTCACGTATTTCCTAATGTCGGGTTTCGTCAGAACATTCCAGAACATTTGATGTTTTGTATTGATTATCTTTGAACTGATGATACATTTACCTGACATAATAAATTGTTACATTTGATGATTCTAACTGACTTTGATATTATTTCATAAGAGTTATAAGGAATTAGTCAAACTTTCGCTCATATTTAATGATGCACAGATATCATTAAAAACCTTTTCATTTAGAGTCAGATGAAATAATGAGAGAATACATATGAAAAATGTATTGCATTTAATCAGACATAACATAGCCTACTTTGCCACGACCACGAGAAAAGAGAAACGAGAAAAGACCTTCACCCGCTGACCGGATGCCTCCATTGGACCGATCGAGCCGGGCTTTACACTTCAATAGAACTTCAATTTAAGTGATATCAACTTTGGAACACAACTTAGACATATGGCGTTGATTTTAGGGTAAAAATTATTTAGTAAAATATAAATTTGCTAGCTATATAAAAAAAGGTTAATATAGTAGGCCTAGCCTGCAGCTAGTTCTGCACTGTAAATGTGTTCAAATCTAACCACTTCATATCTGTGAGCAGTCTGCATTGACTGATTGGTTTTATTTAAAAAATTGAAGAAGAAAAAACATTGCCCCCATTAACTTTACAGTAGTAAGTATGATGGTTTTATTACAAATATGGTGATTATCTCTGGACACCACAACAGGTGTTGTGCCTAATTTTGACCCACTGCCAAATTATTACCCCCCTCGCCTCGTTGAAGTCAGTACCTGATTGCCTAATCCCAACCCCCCCCCCCCCCCCCCCCCCCCCCCCCGTTTCCCCGTTATTGAAAAACGGTTGCTATAGAGGGTATGCGCATGACGTCACCGTCGGCCGGAGTGAATGCGGTCACGCCCACAAGTGGCAAAAAGACTGAGCGGGAGCATTTGTTTTCAGCGTGAATGCCGTGAAAAACACACAAAACACATATAAAACGGGAAAGAGCTTTGCGATTGACTGTACAACTAGATTTGACCAGAAATCTGAGGTACTGTATATTTTTACAGACTGCAAAAAGCTACAGAACAGACTATATTCTGCATAATTGGATGTTTTTAAATAAACACTGACAAAAAACTATACAAGTTTTAGGGCTGGACGATATGATGATATACAGTATAACATTAATGTAAGTTATCACTCGGATTTAGACCTATCTATATTGTATTTATATAAAACGTTTACAGGCAAATTGTCTTCATTTATTTCCCCGGCGTCGAAATCAGGCACCTATAAATGTCAGGAAACGCGATTCCTGGCTGCATGTCAATATCCGTGGATCACTGGATCTTTGATAAGTTGTAAGGAACACTATATCGAGTCCAACTTTTAGTTTAAACTGATGATAGTTTGTTTTACTCGCGTTAACGCAGTTTCCCCTATTAACTCCAGTCACGCAGCAGCTCTTCTGCCACTCAGTCCCGCTGAGGGGGGCGTGTTCCGGCGGGGAAGTGACGTTAATGCATTCCCTCTATTACCTTGAACATAACTGAAAATCATAAACAAGACATTTTGTCTCAAAATATAGTCAATAATTTTTATCGATTCTCATTTGCTACATAAATCTACATTTTAAAAAACATTAAATATTAGATCAAATTAGCGCAGAAAGAATCAAATTCGCGTAGCTGTCAGTGATCGTGTCAAGGATCAACCGAATTTGGAATTTCCACGTGTATCATCAAAAGCGGTTATTAACCCCCTGGGGTCGGCTATCGCGCCGGCGCGATTGTCTTGCTTTTTTTCTTATCAGTGTAAAAGAGACTCAAAATACTCGGTTGGTTTTGATCTTACATATAAGTGTTGTACATCATTAGATCCTGTTAAGTTTCTATTTTTTTATGGATACTCACAATAAAAACAAAGTGTTGTGCTTTTCACCAAATAAAGAAAAACAAACATGATGCGAGTTCTGCGTTCTCTCTGTCAGTGAAGTCCATTCTGAAACGCGTCCTAAGATTAACTGTAACTCCGCGATTACTTGTCACACAGGCACGAGAGGTTTTTCTTTATGAAGCTTAAATTCTCTTCTTTTAAATGAAGTAATTTATATAAAAAACAAATATTCTCAGTTTATGCAATCTGTATGAAAAGAGAGTGCTGTCAGTATTTTTTTCCCAGCTCATTACACTTCATTACGCGTTAATCTGACACGCCCACGGAGGACGCGCGCTATTCAAACGCAAATGTCGGCAAGCCATGACAATGCCCACATCAGCCGTTCCACCGCGGCGGTAAAATGTGTGGTGTATTTGCTGCCTTTTACCGCTAAGAGGCGCTACAATCATAGACTCTGAAAAGTGTTCGTTTATTCCGGTTTATTCTCTCTAATGCGTAATCTGCTGCCGCACCGAAGAATTCAACAAGTGAAACGTAGTTAAAATAATTCATAATCACAATACTGAAATTAGGCTACTGAAATGTAATTGAATAAATAATGGCATTTAGGCTACATGAATGAGGCTTTACCACTTTATCAGTGTACAGACGATAGCTCAGTGGTTAACGCATCAACACGAGCTTCGAGGAGCTTCATTAGACCCGAGATCGAATCTCAATGCAGCATACATGTTGTTAACCGATGTTGACCTACAGCGTTTATATTTTCCCACCTTGATGCTTAAATAGGTAACTGTTTATAACTGTTTACTTATTTAAAGTCAAGAGTTTTGTTTAATTATCATTACAACATAAATTTGCTACATTCCTGTAGAACCGCAGCCGCTGCACAAACGACAAAAACTGATGAAGGAAGATTGTCAGCCGATTGCATCAGAAAATGAAAATGAAGAAGCTCGTCTTTAGTCTGCTAAATTATTGTGTAATGTAAAAGAACACTAAAATTACTTAAGTTTGAAACCAAGTTCGAACATTTCAAGGTTTACATTTTTTCATCGGGTTGCATCGGGTTTAGAGTTTATTTCTTTTGCGATGCAAAATAAGAAACACTAGGCTAATCTTATTCTTGCGACATTTTAAATGTGTATTGCCAAAGAAATTACAGCTAAATTAAACAATTAAAACAGTACAAAACGAAAATTGTCCAAAGAAACATAATTAAATTAAAAACATGCGTTTCTCTTTGCCTCTCTCGCGCTGGATCTCTTTTTAACAAGTTTATTTTAGTCTCCCTCGCTACGCGCGCGGGTCTCTCTCTCGAAATTAATCATTTCAGGGTAAAAACACATCATACAGCTGATAATACTGTATATGTCGCTGCGTGTCAGCCATACAAATCACGAAAAAAATATTTAACCTTTAATTGTTGCTTCAAAGACACAGCATGCCTTGTTGAATTCACCTTACAATCACTTCAATTGAAATTTTGTGTGAAAAAAACTTAAAATAGGCTACAATAAATAAACTACAATATTTATAATTTAATAAGATATGGGGTCTACATTTGGACACAGATTTATCCTTACAATAATTTTGCCTGCTCATCAGGCTGGCTATCCGACACTCTCCATATGAAAGAGGAACATTAACACCTTTGTCCAGCAACTGTCCCTCCAACCCCCCACAGGCTATCGGAGTCTGAGGCTGACTTAACACAAAGAGAAGTCGCAATTCACACTTAAATCCCTATTCTAGACAGTGTTGATAATGAAGGAATTAAATGATTTAAGTTACATGTAGCCTAGTGATATTTCTGTCATAAAAGTTTATTACTAAATATTTCATTATTTCAATAATTGATGAAATAAAACTGGTTTGGGCCAGCTTTTTCCAAGCAAAACTAAATATAACCTGAAAAAACGCTTGTTAATTTGTTGTCATGAACAAAATGTTCAACTCAATATTAAATTCTACAGGGATCTTTGGATCCTTACAAGGCATGCAATTTGTGAATTAAGTTTTTATTTTATTTTGTATTATTCAAATAAATATCGAAACACGGTGCTTCGTGGTAATGCTGCTAAATTAAATAACATTTATAGAATAATTATGAACTTAAATGAAACAATATCACAACATTTCGACAAATACATTATTTGATCTGTTTTTACATTTTAATTCAGGGCGATTTAGCCTACATAGAGCGAGATTTTCACCCTTGTCTTGTCATTTTCTCATTGGGAAGCGCTTACATTGCATGTTTGAGTAGATCCTCTGTACCTCTCGTTAGCCTATATGAATACAAGTTTACAGTTTTGAACGATGTAAGCCTACTCTACTCTTATCTGTATGACCAAAAAATTACGGGGGGGGGGGGTTAAAATAATTCAGCAGAAGCAGGGATGTTTAGACCAGAAGGAAATCCTAGTCCCCCCTGGCAAATCACACTTTACTTAAAACCATGTTTTTAAAAAACTCTAGGTTGTACAGACCTCTCTGCCATGCACGCGCATGGTCTGCCTCGCATGCACGCTCGCTCTAGATAGATTACGGGATATTTTAACTAATTTGCGGTATAACTAGTCGATCACGAGTGGCTGAGCCACTCGTGATCTCAACAGGTAGATCTATAGATAAACTATATCTTTTAGGAATTTGACCGTCACCGACCGGGTTGACACTTCAGCGTGAGAAATCGGGGGTGTGGCGTGAGAGCGTGAGATTTGGGTAAATTGCGTGAGTAGCCTACGCTCACGCTCAATGCGTGAGAGTTGGCAGCCCTGGAAAAAAAATATATATATATATATATATATATATATATATATATATATATAGGCTATATATAATTAATTTTTTTACAGAACTGCTTTTGAAATTACGATTGGTAGCCTATTATTATACAGATGCAAAGTCGTTCTGTTGGATAGCTACTATTTTGTTCCTTATAGTGTAAAATGGAAATGCATGATAATTGTATTTTATAAATATAAGCAAAAAAAAACTGTATGGTGTAACAGAGTTTTAGAGCTAGACAAATCTAAATAAATCTAAAATATACAGCAGACCATGTTTGTGCGGGATTTGAACCCGCGTCATCTTGATGATGAACCGTAAGTTCTACCGCTCGGCTATGAATTTACTCACTGAGAAATACCCGAACGTCTGTTTCTCACATGAGCGATTTTTTCATTTAGCCTGTGAGTGTAGGCCTATACTTGAGCCTTTTACAGTTTTAAAACATTATATCTTATCTGTATGACCAACAATTATGGAGTAGGCTATAAATGTTTGTTGTAGGCTTATTTGGAAATTACCATAACTTGTAGTATTTCATCCTTATAGGCTACAGACATTAGCCCCACTTACGTTTTGCTAAATGTCCCTTTGCGCCACCTGGCGGTCGTTTCGCGAACGACTTTGAAATGCGACTGGTTTATTTTGACCGCGGTGGATGGCTAAAAATGGGATGTGGATGGCTAAAAGGTGTGACTAAAAATGTGCTTTTGGCTTTCATTTATATTTTGATTGTTTGTATATATATATACACACTACCGTTCAAAAGTTTGGGGTCGGTACGATTTTAAATACTTTTAAAAGAATTCTCTTCTGCTAACCATGGCTGCGCTTATTTGATTAAAAATACAACAAAAATCAGTTATAGTATTAAATATTATCTCCAGTGTAAATCAGCTGTTTTCTGTGTGAATATATAGTAAAGTGTAATTTATTCCTGTGATCAAAGCTGAATTTCAGCATCACCAGTGTCAGTGTCTTCAGTGTCAAATGATCCTTCACAAATCAGTACAATATGAGGATTTGATGCTCAAGAAACATTTATTATTATTATCAATGTTGAAACAGTTGTTGGTCTGTCAGTTGTACTTTTTTTTTTTTTTTTTTTTTAGGATTCTTTGATGAATAGGGTTAGGGTTAGAATCTTTTGTAACATTATAAATGTCTTTACTGTCACTTTCGATCAAATGAATTATTCCTTGATAAATAAAAGTATTGATTTCTTTCCTCCAAAAAATAAAAATAAAATTCTCACTGACCCCAAACTTTTGAACGGTAGTGTGTATATATATATATGTGTGTGTGTGTGTGTGTGTGTGTGTGTGTATAAATATTTATTTATTTATATATATATATTGTCCTTGCATTCTTTCTTGTGTGACACCCCTGAATGAAAGGCTCATTAGTATGCAGTCTGCTCAGGTGAGAACTGCCTAATTATTCATGAGGGGGTTGGGCCGTTCCGCCCATCCGCATATTGCCTTTGCAAACAAAAAAATGTTTTTCACAATTTAAAACAATCTATTATTTTATGTGAATGATTAGGCAGAATGATTTTCAGATCAATTCAAAGCAAAAACTCTAGGCAACAACATCCACTAGTCAAAAGTCTTGTGGACAAATATTTAGTATGTTATTTGTGGCCTTATATTAGAAACTTTAGTTTTTAGTTTTTTCAATAACCACGCATAAACAATATTCTCTCAAAAATACAAACATGTATTAACATGTTGTTCACATATTATGGTAGCCCTGTGTGTGCTATATAGAGTGTAATTTCACCTGTGCCATTAATATGTTTATAAGCAACTGAAAAAAGCACAAATGTCAGAGCATGCCAAAACATCTCAAGGACCCCGAAAACACCTCAGACCCCAGAGGGTTAAAAAGTGTTGAGCTGATTTTTTTGTGCCATCTAGTGGTTTATAAGAGAATAAAGTCAAATGCGCCTTTTACCAGTAGCACCTCAATGCAGTACATGAGATCCACGGGGAGGAGTCGGATCAAGATCCAAGGGGTGGAGATGGGTAGGATTAGGGTTGGGTTTAGGGATTAGGGGTGGGTTTAGGGATCAGGGGGCGGAGTTGGGTAGGTTTAGGTCAGTGTTTCTCAACCTCTCCTGCAGGGACCCCCTGACAGGCCATGTTTCTGTTTTAACCCTGAAATGGCACACCTGATTCAAGTCATTAAAGGCTTAATGAGTAGTTGACTAATTGATTAATTGAACTATTCCTACTCTAATTACTCATTAAGCCTTTAATTACTTGAATCAGGTGTGCCATTTCAGAGTTAAAACAAAAACATGGCCTGTCAGGGGGTCCCTGCAGGAGAGGTTGAGAACCACTGGTTTAGGTGTATGTAAGGTGGGAGGAGTCGGATCTGGATCCGACTCCTCCCCGTGGATTTCATGTTCCGCAGTGAGGACCATCTCCCTTTTACCCCCGGTGCCCCTTTTGCCCCGTTATACCCACTGAACATTCTAATCGCATCGCTGTGATCGTATACAGACAAAGGGTTAAATAGATCTCATTTCGGGGGTGGAGAGGGGGGACAAATTGAAATTGAGTTGGCACAAATCAGATCTGCCCCCTTATGGCGGCGGCCCTGAACATCACTTATAACAGGTTGATGCACGTTGAGGCCAGATTTAACATCGTCCCGCAGGAATCCTCAACTCCTCTTTCATCAGTAACTCAAGAAAGGATTGTTCACACTGCTGAGTGATGGACTACACGTCTCACCTACAATACAAGAATCTAGCAGATGGGTGTGTGAGGATGACATGTTGCTCTGAATGCCACAGTGTGACATAATAATGCCTTGCGGCTTTGGCACAGGTGCTGACAACCGAGACAGACAACAAGGACGCTCTGACATCAGATGAGTGTCAGAAATATCTGCACCTTATTCTATTTTTACTTTTTCACAATATCAGGGATTCTTTCTTTGGACTTATATATATATATATATATATATATATAGTATTGTATATTGCATACAACTGCATTTAACTTTTAAAAATCACCATTGGCACCAACATGCAATTCCTTATTTTTTGGTACCATGCAGCCACCATAGTTTTGTTGCTATCAGCAATAACCATGTATTGACGCACATGTATACGACAGGAAATCTGAGCTCAGATGGGACGTTTGGCACTGTTGACCTCCTGGTGAAGATATGAGTCTTGCATTTCAGTTAAATGGTCGTGGGATTAGTCATTTTCCCACCTCGTCAAACTACACCAATCTGAGGAGACTACCGTGGCCATGATGGCAGGGTGTAAAAATAGTAACAAACCCTATTTATAAGACACAGAAACACTCAGAAGGGAAGTATAGCAGCCTTTATCAGAAGATTTGACTGATAACGTTCTTATCTTGGCTTGTTTGTTTTGACCGCTCACTGAATGAGATGCATTGCCTGAGCCGGACGCCCAGGTCATATCTGCTGAACTCCTACAGTGATTTCCAGGAGACTGATGAGATTGCCAGAGAATCGTATGAGGCCACCTGGTTAGACCTACTGATGGAGACCAGACCAGAATATAAGTATGCGTTTCTGTCTCTGACTTTGTTTTGTTTTTGCCGATTTTAGATGTGTTTTAAGGAATGCTTCACCCAAAAACTCAAAATCTGTTTATATTGCCCTTGTTGTTCTAACCCTGCATGCTGTTATCAGCAGTTAATAGTAGTCAGGGCTGTCATTCAGAACAAAAAAAATCATCATAAAAGTCCTTATCACTCATGCTATATATTCAAAGATTTCTGTGAGGAACAAACCAAAATTTAGTTGTTATTCATTTAATATTTTCTCTCATAGCTTGCATTTTTCCCTCACAGAATGTTATTGCATAGCTTCGAAAGACTTGGAATATAGCACATAAGTTCTATGGACTTTCTTTCTTTCTCATTACTCGTCTTCAGTGTCACATGATCCTTCAGAAATCATTCTAATATGCTGATTTGATGCTCAAGTCAAGAAACATTTCTGAATATTATCAATGTTGAAAACAGTTGTGCTGCTTAATATTTTTACATTACCCGTGATACATTTTTTCAAGATTCATTGACGTATAGAAAGTTTAAAAGAACCGTTTAAAAAAATACATTTGTAACATTATACATGTCTTTACTGTCACTTTTGATCAATTGTATGCATCCTGCTGAATAATTAAATTTATTTCTATCCATAAAAATCATAGTAACCCCAATCCTTTTAACAGAAGTGAATGTTAAAAGGAACTTTGTACGATTGTAAAGTGTGATGTTGAGTTAAAATTTAAGTTGGTCATTGCTCAGAATTTACTTACCACTTATTAACTTTCACAAGTCCTCCTTCACAGGATGACACTTGTTGAGAAGGACTCGAAAAGAAAAGAGAGCTACGAAAGTAAGCAGGTGGTTCACTTCACGGTGCGACGATACCCAAACCAGAGGATTCGCATGGGGAGAGAAGGGGAGCCAATGCTGGAATATCGTTTACCTTACAGAAACATTCTCCCAATACCACTATTTGTGCCCAGAGATGCCAGACAGCCTGACGTGACCCACGAGCCGTCGCCCGCCATTGACACTGAGAGTAGTTTAAATGGAGTTTGCCTTGAGAAGAGAGAGGTCTCGTCCATTACCGAACATAAACCACTGGTAATCCAACCCAGGAGTCCAGACTTCAGAGCGTCCAGCCTCATCTCTCCACCACGAGACGCTCTTCGCTTCCAGCGACGAGAGTGATGAGCTGATGACAGCTGTCTGACATCATGGACACGGATACGATGAAAAGTGTGGTGGGTGTCCTCAATCACACTTTAACTCCAAAGCCTTCTAACCCCATATGCTCACAAATATTATTTACTTGAGAAACCTTAAGGAAGGAAGATACAGAGGCCACAAAAAGTCATTTTCACAGACAAGGCTTAAGATAGTCCAAGACTAAAATGCACGTTTGAGCTGTTTGAACTGAAAGCAACTAATTAAATGTCAGTGCCATTGTTTTGTCTCAAGATACACACCAGTAATGTTTTTTTTCTAGGGCACGTTTATAAAAGCTACTTAAATGCCCTACCTGAACTAAGTCCTAATCCTGGCTTAGTCTAAGCCCTGTCTGTGAAACCACGCCAAAATGTATGAATATTATGCCATTGAATCATATCCGTTTTATCATTTGAAACTTTTTGTGAAATGATTTGTGAAGGGTTGGTCAAAATCCCTTGCCTCTTCAAATACATATATAATCATATATCATTTTGAATGGTTATATACTTCCTTTATAAAAATCAATAATCAAATATATTCATTATCACATAATAATTTTTATATTCTTGTGCTTGTGAAATTATATTTTCTTAAATGCATGGATGCAAGTAACCAGTTTCTTTTAGGTGCATTCCAATCTTACTTTGAGATTGCACGTAGTACACGCAGGACACGAAGGCCACGTAACCCACAAGGCCGTTTGTCTCTTTCTCTGGGATCAGTAGAAAGGTTAGAGGGTCCTAAAGGCAGCGTGGGCACATATGATCCTTCGCTGGACAGATGGTCAAGCTATATTGAGCGTTACTATCGAACTTTAATTGTTGTATTAAAATGTATTCTTTCCAGTATATTTCCTTCCTTAGGAGTAAATGCCAGTTATCTGTTTTTCTCCCAAACAAGTGAAGGTTTTAGCATTATGTTTTGGTATACTTAACTGATAATAAGGAGCTCAGACTCTCTTCAGCCTTGATGGGAGCTGTTATTTGCTAGTGTCTGTTATTTGTGTGTGTGTGCGTATGACATTCTATGTAGGTTCTGGACGGTCGGACCAGACACCCCGGCGCCCTTCTCTAACCTGCGAGGCCACCACAGACCTAAATCCAATGAGTGGACGACAACTATCTTTACTAATGGCGATAGGCACCCCTATCTCCTCACATGTGTTAAATTGTTTAGGCTTTCATGTTTCTTAGCCAATGAGAATCATTCAACCTGTAAGCAATGACGTAGCTTAGACCTTGGAAATGGTATAACTGCTGTGATCTTTGTAACTGTAAGTGGGGCGGCCAACAAACTCCTGTGTGAGTCTTGAAGCTGACTTCTGCTGATGAAAATGCAAACTATCTTCAGTAAAACTTTTCTTTAATTTTTTATAATTCTGACTCCGGGTCTTCATTCTTCATATCTGGTTCTGGGTCTTTGACTGTATACCCCTTACATTTGCTTCAAGTGTTTATTTATTTACAATAAATGTGTGATATGTAATGCAGTAACATTTATATGTGGCTTAAGCATCTAAATTTGTTTAATTGATTTTGCTAAATAGTTTCGCAAAAAAGGATAAACTGGGAAAACATTAATGATCTTGATCCTGAATAAAATCTCAACACTGCACAAGTCTGAATGAAATGTAATTTAATTTGTATATGTCTGATGATAAATGAATGAGCTGTTGCTCTTTCTCAGCAGGTTTACAATGAACTGCAGGACAGACATCTCTGATGGACGATCAACATCTGTTCAAAACAGTTAGTAGTTCTTGGAAATAAATGCAATGAATAAATGCTTTCTTGACTGTACATTTCGTTCATGTGTGTTTATGAAATCATGGCTCACAATAAAAAAAGAAACCTGAGTCGATAAACTGTAATATATTTCTTTTCAGAAAACATACATTGTCAGTATTTTTATTTTTGTGGTACATATTAGTTATGAACCATCTTTAGATTGAGAATGAATTAATCCTCTGAAGTTCATAAGTAATGCAAAAAATAAGAAACTATTTGATTCTTCTGCATTCTACTTGATCAAAAAAGGAGAAAGAAAACAAAAACGATTCATGTTATGATATGATTGTCAAGGACTCAACGGGTTTCCTGAAAAAGTTTGGCATAAATAGCTGATAAATAAATCATGACGATAACGTTGGGAAAACATTTATGGAAACAAAATCGTACTTGTTTCTTTTCATAAAGATCAACTGTCCTGCATCAAGGTCTGCCGGAGGATGGCGATGCTCCTTTGAGCGTCTCCTCTGCCCTCTTGTGTTTCTGCAGGGTGACCTGCAGCTGCCAGTACCTGAGATACAGCCACATCAAATTCCCATTCCTGCGCTTATCCATGTTCAGTAAATCTGCACAGTGTCTGTCGTTCTTAAAAATGTCCCTGAGATCGTCCTCTAGGTTCAGCTCGGCACCCGCCGGGTTTTTAGCCACCTTCAGCAGCAGGTTCTTCTCCATCTCCAGACGATGTTCCCGTGGCGTGAGGATGCTGCAGAAAGCGTCCTGCCTCTCCACTAGCTGAACCTCCAGTTCCTGTAGCAGAGCCTGAGCCCTGCTCTGCCAGTTCTCCTCTCGCTGCAGGGCTGTCCGCAGCGCCACCCCGGCCACGCCAGACTCTAGCAGGTTCTTCTTCTCCACATCCAGATCCCGCCGTTCCTGCTGAAGCTGCTTCCGTTCCTCCATGAGCTGCTGAGACTGAGAGATCAGGGCTTTCTTGAAGCCCTGCACACGCTGGCGTTCCTTCTCAAGCTCCACCTCCAGGTGTGCTGCCGTCCGCCGGTTTTCCCTCAGTGTCTCCCTGTACTTCAGCTCCAGGTCTCTGCTGATGGCTGCCATGTCGCAATCGTACTTGTTCTTCACATCTCGGATCTGGCTCTGTGATTCTCGAGTCCATATCCAACCTAGATGAAAATACACCCACAAAGATTTTAATATATTTTTTAAAAAACTCTTTCGTAAGAGTGACCAATACCTTTAAAGAAAACACCATATGATAAAATGCTCTAAATCTATAATCTACATAAAATTACATATATCAGTATACATCAGTTTTATTGTAAACTGAAACTATTAAAAAGGGTTAAATTGTAAACCAGAATTTTTAGCTATTTATCATACAGTGGATCAATATGTCCTTTTGTTTATCAATCAAAAAGATTACATATATTTTGAAAGGTAAACTGTCTTTTTTGAGAATATTTGGAAACCCTATATATCCTTTATTTCAAACTTTGATTTAGTAATATAATGAATGATGTAGAAAGAGATTAAATAGCTTGATTCTCAACTTATTTTCACCCACATGGCCACATTTATTACAACTAAACCATTAGTCGCAAGGCAAGTTTATTTATATAGCACATTTCATACACAATGGTAATTCAAAGTGCTTTACATTGAAGACATTAAAATAATCTAAAGAAATAAGTATAATTAAAACAGGAAATTATTTCTAAAACAGAAAATGATTCTTTAATTATTTTACTTAAATTAAAATTATTTAATAATTTACTATTTTTCCTAACTTACCCCTTTTTATAATATGATTTGCTTCTCTTGTATGCATGACTATTTCCAACTCTTCTTAATGTGTAGCTATCTGAACTGACCTTTTCTTTCCCCCCTTTTTGGGTGTGTTTTGGTAACTTGTCGTTTTATGTTCATTATTATTATGTAAAAAAAAAAAAAAAAAATCTAAATCTATTATTAAAATAAATTGTTAATTCAAATAAAGCTCAAATAAAATATAAATACTAGTTGAAAACTCAAAAATAAGAAATGTTGCCTTGGCAGCTAACTAAAATAAGTTTAAGTACAAAAATGGCTCAAACTAAAACTTATAAGGTTAAACTGAAATTTATATATATATATTAATGTATTATAATATCACACAGTATATAAATATATATTTCTGTTTAGCCTTATACGTTTTAGTTTGAGCTATTTTTGTACTTAAACTTATTTTTTTATAATAAAAAACACATGACAAAACTATCAAAACCGAAAATAAATAAATGCTATAGGATACTATAATATAGTAGTTTGTAAATAAGATGCATTCAAAATGAATGTGAAAGTTAGATGAAAATTGTGATATTCCATTAAGTGAAAGATGAGTCATCAATGTTTGGTATGTTTCCAAAAAGAGAAAGACTGTGAATTTTAAATTGTTAATTAAAAACCTGATACAATATAATTATTACATAGGAGATACACTAAGAGGTAATACTGGGTGAAAAGCTGTAGAATTTACTTAATGGATTGCTTTTACAACCCTCTCATAAACCCAGATTTCATTACAGATACAACCTATAAAGTGGATTATCCAGTATAATGTAGCACACAAACATTCAAGACATTTGTGAGGGTGAATGACTTTAAAAAGTGTGTAAAGACCCCTTACGAAATGCTGCCAGCCCGATCATGGGCACCAGCAGGGCATAATTCCATCTGCCCCCGTCATTTCCGGCTGGCTCTGGTCTAATATTCCATCTAGGAGGATCATTCAGGTCGTTCATGGAGAAACTCTGATCAGAAAGTGAAGTAAGGTGCTTTGTCACAGTTTCGTGTATCTGCCACACATCAAACAAACCACTACACTGCATACATCAAACTATTTGACTAATAAAGAGAACACAACACTGCTAAAGCTGCAACCCTGAAAAAAGATTATAAATGCATTTCTCCGGCAGTTAACAATAGATTGCATTGCACAATAGATATACTCTTGTGAACATGTTTCCTTTGCTTACCTTGAACAATCTAAAGTTTTTTGCATAAAGTGCTTCCAGATCCAGACAGCCTGGACGATTATGCAATATTCCATTAAAAACATCCAACATCCATGTATTATTTCATAAGGGAGTTGAATACGTTTATTATTAAAATATACATATTAAACGCATAGTATACAAGTATAAGTAGTCTTTAAAATAACTGATTATGTATATACGAATTATTAAATGTTCATAGATCCATCTTTATTTACAAAAAATACAGAAATACAACTGAATTGGATTTTGAACACCCCTAAAATTTGGCAACATATTGGTATAGTCCGGAGAGGTAGGTATTTGAGATTCTAGATGTTCGCAACTGCGCAGGGGATGCGCAGAACATTTTCTTCTAACAAAAACCTCCTTTATTACACTGAGATCTCTTAGCTGCACCTTTGTTATGCGTAATATATAGCTTTTTTATTTATTTATTTAAGAAATACTTAATAGAAATACTATTTTTGAAAGTATGAAAGTGCGCTGCGACTACAGAAAATGCTGACCAAATATTTGAAGGTTGAACTTGAGCAGCGAGCTCATTGGCTACTGATACAACAGGAACCAATCAGCTGTGCCCTATAGAGCATGATGTGATTTCAAGTAGACTGGTCAGCCTGTGCCATCTAGAGTTTCATGACAGAACTTTGTATTTATCAGCTTCCAGTCTCTGCTTCACATCATGGCATTTTTCATTTTTTTTAATGTTAATAATTATTGTATTTATTTATCTTGTATCATTTTCTATAGTATTATGGACAATATCCTCTTAAGCTGTGTACTATTTAAATGACATATTGATGACATCTAATTTTTAAACTAAAATGTTTCATGAATTGAGCTAAGGACTGTTATCAAACATAAACTAACAAAGGTATAACCAAAATTCAAAGAGAAGATAGCCAGTACTCTTGCTCCATTAGAAATGACGGTGAAAGATAGTGTGAGAAATCTTGGTGTAATAATTGACTCATCCCTATAAGCTTTGATTAACAGATAAATTCTGTTGTAAAGAATAGTTTTTATCAGCTCAGATTGATTTCTAAGATAAAAGCCTTTCTTAGTTTGAAAGATTTTGGAGGTCGTTGTCCATGCTTTTATTACGTCAAGACCTTTTTTTACAGTCTATGGTCAAGACTGGACTACTGCAACACTTTCTATGCAGGGATCTGTCAACGTCAACTATGCCGTCTGCAGCTGGTGCAGAATGCCACAGCCAGGCTTCTGACTGGCACTAACAAAAGGGACCACGTTACTCCAGTATTATCCTCTCTTCATTGGCTGCCGGTTCAGTACAGAATTGATTATAAGATTTTATTAATTGTTTTAAAAGCACTGCATAACATGTCCCCAAATAACATTGCTGACCTTTTAGGATCTTACATATCAGGCAGGACATTAAGATCAACAAACCAATTTTTGCTGACTGTCCCTTATTATAAAAAGAAGTCAAAGGGTGACTGAGCTTTTTCAGTTGTGACTCCCAAGCTGTGGAGCAGTCTTTCCCTTCATATCCAGCAAGCTCCAACAATAGAAATTTTTAAGTCTCAGTTGAAAACTTATCTTTTAGTTAAGGATATTGTGCACTGTAGTAAAAACTTATTTGTATTTAGTTTTCTTTCTCTTTACACTGATCTCACAATACAGTTGTGTGAGGTGTATATCTAAAGAGTGTGTGTGTTTTTATTCATGTATGTTTCATTGTTTTTGTTATAACTGTGAAGCACTTTGGGGAACAACATTGCTATTAAATGTGCTATATAAATAAAAAAAAGTTGAAGTATAAAAATTGATTATTGAACTAATAAAATATGAACTGAAGCATAATCACAAAATCATTAACAAATCTGAAATTGTGCTCTTTATTTAACAAAAGCATTTATTTCATTTCATTTACATGTTAAACCAATATGGACGTTTCCTGTTGCGTTCTACTATTCTCTTGTCTTTATCTGCATCAGAGGGCGTTTCATTTTCATACAAAACAACAGACTCTACAGCAGGAGTGTTGAGAGGTCCGCCTTCCATGATGGACATTTGCTTCCGTATCACTGCCGTCTCCTTCCTGATCTTTTCATAGCAGAATCCACACAGAGTATGCTTCAGTTTCATGTTGCCACACTCTGAACACGGCTCAATGTTGTACTGGGAGAGAAGGAAACAAATAGGATAAGTTGCTCTTCATCTAAACAGACATCTGTTTACTACAACACAGGTTTACGTTGATAGCTCTTTTAATTTGTACCATGCTCTAGTCTAGTGGGAATCAATGAGTTCTTACCTGGACTTTTATCAGTTTATTTGGGTCTCGTCTTCTGCAGCGATTTACTTCAATGGTTCGTCTCTTTTTAGGGACGGCCATCCAAAAGATACTGTCCAAGAAACTGGGCTGAGCGTTTTCATCATCACTGCTGTGATGGGATTGAGGAAGAATCCCGGGACCATTTACTGCCAGAGCTGGACCTGAAGAGAAGGTTTATGTGATTGATAGATTAATAAAATAATCAAACTGAGTTACTCAAATTATTTTTAACACATGCTCACACTACCATTTAAAATATACCTTACCCAAATCTCTGTCCATTTATTATTTATAAAAGGAAGATATGGGCTTATATTTGACTTAAGGTGATATAAATATAAAAAAATATATATGTAAAAAAGAAAAAGAAAGAAAAAAAGACCTATACCCACATTTCACATGAACAGAAATACATATATTCTTTAATAAAGATGAGGCATAATTTGCTATATAATTTTAATAAATACGATATATATTAAGACAAAAATATGTATATTTTAAACACAGTAATGTTCTGATTAATGTAGTATCCTTCCCTTAAAAACACAACAGATGTGCCATGTGTCTCCTTGAGACCTTGATACAACACCAGAGATAATGACATTAAAAACAAACTCTATATTTGATGTTACAATACACAGGTAAATAAAAGAAAAACAAACTGCTAAATGGTCTTAAGTTAAGCTTCAGTATATAAATGTATGTACAGTTATATGAGTGGAGCAGAGTGTCACACATGACACGTTCATTACAGTAACGTTAAATGCACTCACCGAAGCGGTCAAATCCCGCCGCTTGCGATAAACTAAGTTCCAGACGCTGCAGAGAACGACCGACAAACTGAAGTAAACCGGTTAATGACATTGTGTTCGGTATTTTATTTCAGTTTAACCCAACATGTACAGACCAAACATCCTCACGGTCACAGCTCAAAAAGACCCACTGCGCCTGCGCGTTGTTCTACACCCGTGCATTCTGGGATTTGTAGTACAACGATATAAAAACTCTGCTTCATTCTGAGCGGGTGAGAGCGGAAATTCTTCTAAATAAAAAAAAAACACGAATATATATTTTAATTATTACTCAGTGGCAAACAAAATGTGACGCCCAAAATTATTTTAAACTCATATTTAAGCTGCCTACAATACCCACAATTCACTAACTTACCCTAGTAGCTTTTTCAACCAATCATATCAAGTAAGCGTGTGTCGTCACTTCCCCAACAGTCACACAGCCATGGCAGACAGAGGCTACAGTTTCTCCCTCACCACTTTCAGGTAATTAATATCATGATTTTATCATATTCAATGCATTCATCATATTAAACGAGTGTGTGTTTTTAGCGAATCGCAAATCTCGAGGTTTATGGAGAGCGTTTTGTCAGTTAAGGCGTTAATTCATTATCTAAGCGCTGATGCAGAGTCACTGTGTTTGTAAAGGGTGCTTTTTTCATTCATGAGCATCAACGTTCATTCATAGAGTGAATTAAACACAATAATGCTTCCCGGATCAACAAATACAACACTCTCAGGAGGATTTAAAAGACAGACTAGGGCTCATTTTTGTCTTTGTGATAGAACAAGCTGATTTTACTTTCACTTTCAGTGTATCACTGGAAACTGTCCCTGTTATACATTTATATGACCTTTTTAATGCACATGAGTAAGCTTGCAGTTTACAAAAATCAGTTAATGGTTTTCTTAGTTATTATAATATAGTATAGCTGAAAACAGAGCACTCATTATGTGTGACATTTAGTATGACATTTCTATGGGGACTGTAGCATTTTTATGTAATATGCAAATCTACATAATTAAAATAATTTGACAAATACCATATTTTGTTAAAGTAACAATACAAAAAACAACTTATTTGGGTACATTACAAGTTTAGTTTTTTGAAAAAGTTTATCCTAGTCAATCAGCCTCATCTTTATCATTGCATGTTTTACCTAAAGTCCAGTGTAGTTCTCATTTTGCAGTCCATTTTATAATCTTTTTTTTGTGTTTTCAGCCCTTCGGGGAAGTTGGTCCAGATTGAGTATGCTCTGGCAGCTGTAGCAGCTGGTGCTCCTTCGGTTGGAATAAAAGGTAAAAAAAAAATATATAAATATTTTTATTTAAATTTGCATTGTTTATAAAACTTTATGGTTTCATTATGTGCTTATTATCAATTGTCTTCTTGACAGAAAAACACTTTCACTGAATTTTAACCTTCATTTCATCCTCATTTCTCTTTAACAGCCTCAAACGGCGTTGTTCTGGCTACAGAAAAGAAGCAGAAATCTATACTGTACGATGAGCAAAGTGTTCACAAAGTAGAGCCCATAACCAAACACATCGGTATGGTCTACAGTGGCATGGGTCCAGACTACAGGTATGGATTTGGAGCCTGCATGACCTAACACTATATAATAATGATTCCTAACAGGTAGCACATGAAGCTCAATGAGATTTTTGTTGTAAAAAAAGTTTATAAAGTTGGCATGAAATGGATGTTGCGATAGTCTTTTCATCCCTATTGTGACATACATTCGAGGGAAACAGCTTCACAAACAAGAAAAAAAGTAGGGCGGGACTTGATTATATCCATGTGGAATTGATTGGATTGTTGTGGTTTTTGCTATTGCTGTGTTTTCATGTGTCCCACCCTGGCTCCAGTAAACATGACATCAGAGAAGAGATGTTGCTGCAAGAGGGAGGGAAATTTATTTTGATTAAAGATTATGAGGTCACAAGAATTTATTAAAAATGATGTTGTGCACTGATTAATCACTTATAAAAAATGCTGCAATATTCCATAATAAAACAAGAATTGTTCATTTTGATTTTATGGTGACTTTAATCATATCTGCAGGGTTATGGTGCGAAGGGCACGAAAGCTGGCTCAGCAGTACTTCCTGGTCTATCAGGAGCCGATTCCTACAGGCCAGCTTGTTCAGAGGGTGGCCTCTGTTATGCAGGAGTACACACAATCAGGGTATGCGTGATACATCTCCACTGTTACAATTATTCTGGAAGTCGCTCTTCAAACAGTTGTTTTACAGTGTTGTAAAACAATATTTTGAGAAGATGCTTGACGTGCATGTACCAAAGTGACAATGGCATAACATGCAGCTTTTTTGTTTCGACACAGAGGGGTTCGGCCTTTTGGGGTGTCACTCCTGATTGCTGGCTGGGATGAAGACCGCCCATACCTTTTCCAGTCTGACCCCTCAGTATGCTATTCACTTTGGTGTTATAATTATGTATAGATGGGTTTCAGTCACGTGATTATGATGACGCGCGAAATTTAGATGGAGGGCAGGGAGTGAAGAGCGCAATGGACGAGATAGAGGAAAGTCCGTACTGTACTACTTTACACGCTATTACAAGAGAAAGATATAAACAAAAAATCAAACATATGTTGGACGTGATCCTTACGTTATGAAGAGGAGCGATTTTTCAACTGAATTGAGGTGAACATCGAGGTGGTAGATATCAACAACTACCTCGTCTTACAGACATACTTTGACTTTACAAAGTTCGGAAACATTACACGTTACACAAACATAGCCACTTAAGTTGTATTAACTCACCTTTGACGAAGTGATCACTGCACACACGGGCATTTTCCCATTCGGCTCCTCCTGACCGCAGACGTAGGTTTGCAAGCCGTTTTTCGGTCAATTTCTTGCATTTTCCTCCCTTATGAACAACAACTTTTGGTACACGATAAAAACTCCTCGTGGTTTGATCGATTTAAGTAACCATAAACAATGCAAAACATAGGCATTTTGAGTTTGTTATAGTGCTTTCTAAATACAGCAAATCACTTCCTGCCCTCCATTTGCATTTCGTGCCATGGCAACGCAGTGGTGTGACGTCATATGAAAACAAGCTATTACTGTAATTTAGTTTAAACTGAAATAAATGATCTGTTAAAAATGTAAGCTCTTTATGTACTGTATATTAGCAAAATAAGATGGACTTTGATCTGTTTTAAGGGAGCATACTTTGCATGGAAAGCCACAGCGATGGGGAAGAACTATGTGAATGGGAAAACATTCCTTGAAAAAAGGTACAAAATGTACACGCATGGTCCAAGTCTAAGAGCTTTTTAGTCTTTCTAAACACACAGCCTCTCATTTGCTTCATTTTCCTATTTCAGATACAACGAGGATCTGGAACTGGAAGATGCGATTCACACTGCTATTCTGACTCTTAAGGTAATAATTGACAACCCAGCTATGTCTATTCACGTTGTGTTCCGGCCTTTTAGGCAAGTCATGCCACTCGGCCGCCATCTTGGCAACGCCTCCGGGCAGCTATTTCGGACTAACAAGACCAGGCTCCTATCTAAATGAATGGGCAGAGACCCAGAACTGCACTTTCACTGGTCACCGGGACATAAAGAACTGCATGTATACAAACACTAATAAAATACGATAAAAATCGCTGAAAAAGTGTGATGACTTTGCCCCAAAATAAGGTTTAAAACGCCTTTTTCCCCACAGGTTATACTTTTACTGCGCATGCGCAAGGGTTCTCTCGCTCTCTGTCGTGCGCGCTACTGCTCGCTCGCTCTAGATTCCGGGAGATTTGAACTAATTTGCGGTCATCAGGGAGCCGCTATCAATCTGCGGGAGACTCCCGGAACTTCCGGGAGACTTGGGATGTCTGATATTTACACAACTAACACATCAAATCTGCCGCCTTTTCAAACAGTAACATATTTTCCGCTGTCGCAAACCTCAACTGTGCGCATGCGTCGGTGGAACCAGACGATAGGCTTAAATGTTTTCCGGCTTGACTGTTAAAAGCAGACGATTGGCTTTCCAGCGGGAGGGGCGGGGCATGTGCATACAACCGCCATCTTTGGCGTTACGGGTTTTACCTATATAGTTGTATTAAGGATTGGGGAAGTGGCATGTCTCTATAATCTATATAAATAGTCTCTGGTTCCGGTCATTTTTATTTTGATCTAAAATGCTAGTTAATGTTCTGGCATTAGACTAAAAGTTACTGACTTTGCTCACAGAGGGCATAACTCCCTCCAAAAGATAATTTGTGTGCATTGTTTTGTATGTTATTTCCACCTTTTTTAGTTTTTAACCATCTTTTTACAGAAAAAAATACTTATAATTCCCTTGTTATGCTATTATTGCCAAATAATGGATTCAATCTTTTTTTGGAACTGATGAACTGTATTCCTCATTTATTTGAGCTATGCAGCTCTCTTTTCACTTTAATGGTTTTTTTTTTTTTTTTTAATTACCAGTAACACCATATTAGGTAAAGAATTTTAAAGGACCTGTTTAAATTTTACCAGAAAATGTTTTAGAATTTTTATCATATGCTAATGTTTAAAATCTTGTAATGTTAAAAAATGTAATATTAATTGCTGTATTTTTTCTGTTTGCTTGGTTTTTGTTTTTTATTGTGTATATGTCACTCTTGTACTTTTGTAATTCAGTTTTTGTCATGAAGAAAAAGCCACAGATGCTGACATGGCATTAAATAAAACTATACTGACTGAAACTGCACGTCACAAAGCATGACGTTTTACTTGCCAATGCCCCAAATTGAATGTCCTAAAATGTCAAACATCAAAGTTATCTATGACTACTTTTGTTACAGGAAAGCTTTGAAGGTCAAATGACAGAAGACAACATTGAGGTGGGAATCTGCAATGAAGCAGGATTTAGGCGACTGACCCCAGCGGAGGTGAAAGACTATCTGGCTGCCATTGTTTAAAATCACTTTTACAAGTTGTTGTAGATTGAGCACTGATTATCTTGTCTTCATCAGTCCAACTTCATTAGTACTTACTTGTTAGTTTGAGCAATCTAAAGCATTGAAATAAGTGAAAGTTGTATTGTTTATATTTTGCTTTCTTTGTCACAGAAGGAAAAAAATAAACAAGTCTTTTGAAATCCTGTTGTCTGTTTCCATTTTGTACTACTGTGGAATGTTT